CACCATGCCCAGCTAATTTTTTGTAGTTTTAGTAGAGACGGGGTTTCACCATGTTGACCAGGATGGTCTCGATCTCTTGACCTTGTGATCCACCCGCCTCGGCCTCCTAAAGTGCTGGGATTACAGGCGTGAGCCACCGCGCCCGGCCGGTTCTGCACATTTTAAAAAAATATCTATTGAGCTGATTATGTGGGTCCCTCCCCATTCTTCTAATATGGTATGTCATATTGATTTTCATATGTTGAAGCAATCTTGCATTCCTGGGATAAATCCCACTTGGTCTTGATGCATAAATCTTTTTATTAAACTGCTGAATTCAGTTTGTCACTATTTTGTTGAGGATTTTTGCAACTATAGTTGTAAGAGATTTGGATCTATAGTTTTCCTGTGACATTTTCCCCTGGCTTTGATATCAGTGTAACACTGGCTTCATAAAATCAATTTGAAAGTGTTCTATTTATTGGAAGCATGTAAGAAGGACTGGTGCTCATTCTTCTCTTAATATTTGATAGAATTCACCAGATTAGCTTGGTCCTGAGCTTTTCATTATTGGAAAATATTTTTAGGTCTGATTTTCTTTTTTTCTTTGAGACAGAGTCTCACTCTGTCACCCAGGCTGGAGTGATGCAGTGAGGAATCTTGGCTCACTGCAACCTCTGCCTCCCAGGTTCAAGTGATTTACCTACCCCAGCCTCCCAAGTAGCTGGGACTACAGGTATAAGCCACCAAGCCCGGCTAATTTTTCTATTTTTTTAGAGACAGGGTTTTACCATGTTGGCCAGGCTCGTCTCAACCTCCTGACCTCAGGTGATCTGCCCACCTCAAGTCTCCCTAAGTGCAAGGATTACAGGTGTGAGCCACTGTGCCCAGCCTATAGGTCTGATTTTATATTGTTTTCTAGATTCTTAGATTTGATTTTGGTAGTCTGTGTGCTTCTAAGTTAAGATGACTTTGAGGTTACAGATTTCCAATATTTAATCTTTAATTTTACTGCTGAGGTAAGAAGGAAACAAAAATATGATCTTCATTCTATACATAAAGGCAATACAATGGTTAAATAATTTATTTAAAGTGAAATGTCACTTTTAGTCTTGCTAGAACAAGAATTCAGATGAACAAGTCATGGAACTAAAGGGAAAAGACCTGGAAAGTTTCTTAGTCAACTCCACTGCCAAGTAGAATGTTGACATTACAACTGGCAGGAGGTACCCTCTCCACCTAGGACCTACACAGCACAAGTCTATGGACGCCAGCAGCATCCCAGTTTCCTTGTGCCTTATCACCAATCTGCACAGTCCAAGACCACTCCTTAGAGTTTCCCTTTTCTTCTTCCCTTCTATATCCTCTCATTCCAATGCAACAAGAAAACTGCAAGTATTTATAAAAATACCTCACCCTTTTCTATCGAACTCTTTGTCCAAATCCTTCTGAATCATCGTCTTCTGGGCCTTGTAGTGAGTTATTATGCCAATGTTTCGAAAAGTGACATCCTTTCTTTTGTCTTTAATTAGCTTAATTAGTTCCATCACCAGTTTTATTTCTTGAACATTTACATATGAGCTAAACAACAGGGAAAAAGAAAACACAATGTTATCAAAACTAATAAATAGCAGGCTAATTGCTAACTTAAATTCCATTGAGTTTGTTTCCCATTACAGCAAAGGGCAGCAGATAGGCTTCATCTTTTATTCAGCTGTTAAAATAGGAATAGCAGCAGTAAGAAGAGCAGTATTAATAAGAACAAAGATGTGAATAGATGGCTAACAGGAGTTAAGGATCTACTATCTCCCAAACACTGAGAAAATGCTTCAGATGTATAATTTCCCTTGTCCCCCACCACTGGCTGCATATAACACACACGACACAACCGAGCAGCTGCCATCCACACAAACTAAACGTAAATGTGTCATCCTACCTGACCTCAGCTGAACAACATGGGGCCCTAGAGTAGGTTCATGTCCCCTTTGTTGTCCTCACCAGCCTCATATCCTGCACTCTCAACTCATCCTGAAACCACATGCTCCCTCATGACCACACCAGATGTGAAATGCACCAAGACCAGGGGGATGCACTACACCCATCCCTTGATTCCTGAGGCTACCTTATTCACCTTGCTTTACAAGCCTTAAATATCCATTATCGTAACTTTGAGACTTACTATATGAACAACCCAGTCAGCTAGCGATCTTTTCCATCCCCGAAATCTTCATTTCCCGTGGTCCTCTTCCAGATTAAGCCTCTCTGGTCAACATCCCACTCTAACCTTCCTTCCTCATGATGCTCTGGGGCTTAACTCTCAATCCTTTGCTCTCCTCCAACAGGCCCCATGAAAACCTTTAGGCTGCAGTCCCTCCAGCACTACAATCCCATGGCCAACTTCTCCTCTGTATGTTTCCCTATCTCTTCAGTGTGTTCCCTACTTCCACCCCCGTATCTTAACCTAACACCTGATTCTCACCTGAGGACGCCACCTGCTCTGCAGCCATCCCATGATGTACAAGTGGGATTTGTTTCCTCCTACTTCATGACAGAGCAGTGCTTGTATCTGTGCCAACAAATGCTACCTCTAGACCATTCCTCCCCTACTCTCTCACAAGAATCCCCAGCTCCTCTGACACTGCTGCTATGTGGCAACAGCACCACTCCTTTCTGCTGTCATATACAGATCACCTGAACACATCCCCTTATTCACAACCCAATACCATCCAACCTCTGTTGCTACTTCCTTACTCCTCTTCACACCTTCATTCAGCTGAATTTATACTTCACCTTCATAGTTCTAAACCCAACTGGAATAACTGCTTACCTAAGTGATTACCAGGTAAAGGTCTGTCGTCCCATGACATCATCATCTTGCAATGGGCACATCTGTTTCCCTCACTGCTGTGATCTCGATAAGTATCTACTCAAGTGCTTGCTTATGACATTAGATGATATTATCCCCATTATACAGAAAAAAGCAGCATTAATTTAAATGAAAATGACTGTGCCTTGACATTAGGCAGAGAGATGTGTATAGGAAATGTACTTAATATAAATATGAACACAAATAATGTAACAATTCTGGGACCATCACAGAGGATTAAGGCAAGAGGAGAACATACTCATTATCCCGTCTTTCTGAACCATCTCCGACATCAAACACAAGGTATGGTTGAAATGGCCAGTCTGATGAACACCGAATGGTTTCTGTTTGTCTGTAAAAAGGTAGTTGACATTCAAAATAAGGTCGAGACTTAAGAAAATATTTTAGTATTATGACTATTTTTTCTGTGTGGTGAAGTGGGCTGGGGCAAGTTAAGGGGTAACAGGAATATTCTTTTCTAGATGTGTATCAGTGAAAAGTACAAAACAAATTCTGTTTCTTTCCTGGTGCTGGAAGAGGTATCTACGTCATTAAAATATAACAAAATGACTGGAAAGTCACTCATAGTAAGCCACAGAATACTGTGTTGAGTATGGTCCCACTTTTTTCTTAAAAAATTTAAAAAGTAAAAAAAGATATGCATGGTAAAAGGAATGAAACTTGGCCAGGCGCGGTGGCTCTTGCCTGTAATCTCAGCACTTTGGGAGGCCAAGGTGGGTGCATTGTTTGAGCTTAGGAGTTTGAGAGCAGCCTGGGCAACATAGTGAAACCCCATTTCTATAAAAAGAAAAACACAAAAATTAGCCAGGCATGGTGGTGAGTGCTACTCAGGAGGCTGAGGTGGGTGGATCAATTGAGCCTAGAAAGTCAAAGCTGCAGTGAGCCAGGATTGTGCCACTGTACTCATTCTGTCTAGGCAACAGAAAGAGAAGACAGTCTCAAAAAAAAAAAAAAAAAAACACTGAAAGCGGCTATGCCAAAATGTTACCAGTGATTATTTATTTCTAGGTAGTATAAATATAGGTGACTTTTTCCCTCTTTCTTTATGTTCATTTGCTGTATTCAACATGATGGCTTTTATAACTAGAGAAAATTATTAATCCTCCATGATTTATGCTTTTTATGACAAGACCTAAGAAGACAGTAAAATGGCTATTCTTCATAAACAGCTAAACTACAAATAAAATAAGCTCACAAGCAATAAAGGGAACTCACCTATTTGTTTTTAAGTTTCTGTTATAAACATAATTGGAAGGGAAGAGACATATGTCTGGATGCATCCTGTACTGAATAGTAAGCCGTAAAATAGGCAGCCTGCTGATCATGTTGTGTTCTACATTCTCTTCCAGCAGTTTGCAGAAGCGAGCCATCATTGACTGGTCGTAGCCATACTCCTGTGCTTTCTGTGAGGGGAAAAATAAAGCAATAATTTCCAAGAATTCCTTTATATCTTTCCCACTATTATAAAAACAATTACTGACATCTAATGTGTACATGGCAACATTCAGGTAGCATAAGATTACCAACCACAGCTTCAGAGAAAGAGATGTTTCTGACTCTGATCCTCAAAATGTTGTGAATTTTTTTTTTTTTGGAGATGGAGTCAGGCTCTGTCGTGTAGGTTGGAGTGCAGTGGCGCGATCTCAGCTCACTGCAACCTCCACCTCACAGGTTCAAGCAATTCTCATGTCTCTGCCTCCTGAGTAGCTGGGATTACAGGCGTTTGGCACCACACCTGGCCAAAATGCCATGAATCTTGAATATATATTGAGGCATTTTCTACTCACATACTGCTTATGAAAGACATACGATCTTGTGAATGACAACTGATGCTATTTTGATAATACAAGACATCACCCTCGTATCTTAAAAAATAATAATAATAAAGGAAGCAGATAAATGTAACACAGATTTTAACAATTATTGCTGGTGGTATATCCTCACAGACATATTGAATGACATTGTAAACAAGTGTTTTGAAGACAACATTCTTCATCCATCCATCTAATATATACTAAACATCTATAATTTGGAGTGATTGAGACTGCTAGAGTGAATAAGATCAAGTCTCACAGAACTTACATTCCAGTGGAGGAAACAGACTTGACTTATGTGTTGGCCATCCCTAATCTAAAATTCCAAAATACTCCAATGAACATATCCTTTGAGCATGAACTTTAAGTATAATGTCAGCACTCGAGAAGTTTCAGATTATGAAGCACTGTGAAATTTTTGAATTAGGAATCCCCAACCTGTGCTAAACTGATTTCACAAACCAAATAATGGGTTATATTCTGCAATCTGCAAGATAGTGACCTAAATGACAAATGGGATAAACTGTCTTGTTATCACAGTTGTGCCTTGGTATATACTTTCCAATGACAGCATCATAGAAAGTTTAAAAAGAACTCTATCTTAAATAACCTGGGTGTAAAAATGTGCTGAAAACTTCACTAAAATGATGGAATCTCCATGAGTGATGTGAAACATACTGGCACTGAAGACGTGCAAAGCCTGAATAAACTTGTTTCACAAACTATGAGAGTGGAGGAAAAGGCATTACTTCTTAACCAATTTATATGTGTGATTTTAAACAGGTTTGTGTAAGTATAAAATAATTATTAATAGACATTTGACAATTTTGCCTAAATCCTCAAAAGTTTATCTGAGTTAGCTCAAAAGTCTAATTTTTAATCTTTGCTTTGGGGGAACAGAAAAAGAACTTATATAAGGTAATGCATCTAAGCTCCAGACAAACCATAGTCTATTCAACAAATGATACAAATTTATTAATATATATTCAGACATGGAAGAATGTCCCTGATTTACTGATTTAAAAAAAAAAGCCAATTCTGCACAGAATGATTCTGCCATCTTTAAAAAAAACCAGACTCACGTACATAAACACATATACACATAAATATATACTTGTATACAAACCATATACCACATTTTAATAACCGGCTTACTGTTATCCCCTAGAATGCAAACACCATGCAGGCAGGGATTTTGTCTGTTTTCTTCACTGTCATAACCCCAATACCTAAACAGCGCCTGAATTATGTTGGCACTCAATACACACATACTGAAAAAGATGAATAAACACACAAATGCCCAGCAAAATCTGTTAAAGATACTCACTTTCACCGTAATTATCACTAGAAATAGGTGGTCAAAAAAGGCACCTCATGGAAATGAACTCTGTAATTATTTTATCAAAATAGCCCATTTTATTTGTACAATTAATTTAAAAACGACAAATGGATTTTTTTGGGGTAATTTTTGTTGCTTTTATAAATCATTAAATTAGGCAGTAAGGTTGAGGTACATAAACAATCCCTTTTCATTTCAATAAAATACTGTATTATTTAAAGAAATGGGATACAGAATTTGCTCTTCCTTATTTTCCATGAACAAAGTTGCCTGCAGCAGTTCCTCCCTAAACACGCAGGTTTTCACTGATGACAGGAGTGCTTCTGGGCCACACCCTACCATGATCACGTACCTGTGCTCAAATGTCATAGAAGGAACTGCACTACCATTCTGAATAATCCCAAAGTCAAAAGCCACTAACAAAACCACCTGCATTCATTCTATAATTCCACAGAAATGCTTTGAAAATGATCTGTTCTCTAGGATTTATGAGGCCACTACTCAACTATTTGTATAAATAATCTGTTATTAGCACTAATGCAAATTTTATTAAATTTTATAACCTCTTCAGATTACTTCAAAACATCTACTGAATCCTGACTCTGATGTGCATTTCTAGGAGACATCTTTCATTGGGATTAAAAAAAAACCAACAAAGTAGAGTGGACTACAATCTGGTTCTTCTTTTCCCACAGGCAGAGCCTATAATTTAGTCTTTTTTCCCCTTGTACCTTCACTTTCAGATGATGTGAGGGGCACAGACATTTTCTTGTATTAATACTAGAATACTAAATCATAAAAATGGAAATGTACTCCCCAAAATTAATTTAACTTCATGTTTTCCTCAATTTGTACATATTTAAATATAAATGAAGAGGGTGGGATTCTTCTCTTCACTTTTGAAGTTTTTCTTTTATTATTGTTTTGGTGTTTGCATGATTAAAATAAATCAGATTCAGCTCTTTAAAGATGTGCACACTGACTTTTCCAAAGCTTGCTCTGCATGGCACGTCATCCATCTAGGCTGAACACTCGACTTCTGCCACACGTACACAGAAGCGCAACTATGAACAAAGGGGCCTTTTTAGGAATTTTTTTTTTTAACGTATTGAGACTCAATCAGTGCTTCTCTTTTCTCAGTTACTGCTTACTTTTCACTCCAAATTAAGAGAGGCCCATCCAAGAGAGATGTTCCTCCCTCCTGAAGACAAAAATTTAAAAAAGCCCCTTCCATTTTAAAGCAATCTGAACATAAAAAAAACTTACCATAGAGATGACTGTGGGAGGGAGCTGTTTAGGATCTCCTACTAGGATAAGCTTGTTGCAGCGATGAATGAGTGGAGTAAGAGTCTCAATTTCACAAGACTGTCCAGCCTTGGCAAGATATAGAAGGGAGAGGCAGTCTTAACTATCTTTGCTATTTATCCATATAGTTTATCTGATTACAGTTCTAACCATTCAGAAAAGTACCACACTTCTGCACGAAATATCAAAAATAAGGATTTTATCTGAAAACACAAAACAAAACAAACAACAAAATAAACCCTCCAGGCTGGGTGCAGTGGCTCACGTATGTAATCCCAGCGCTTTGGGACCCACCTCAGGCGGGTAGATCACCTGAGGTTGGGAGTTTGAGACCAGCCTGGCCAATGTGCCGAAACCCTGTCTCTACTAAAAATACCAAATAAATTAGCTGGGCATGGTGGCATGTGCCTGTAATCCCAGCTACGCGGGAGGCTGAGGCAGGAGAATCACATGAACCCGGGAAGAAGAGGTTGCAGTGCACCGAGATCACATCACTGCACTACAGAGACTGGCTGACAGAGCAAGACTCTGTCTCAAAATAAAAAAATAAATAAATAAATAATAAACTCTCCAAACGCATGTTTTAAAAAAAATCAAATATGTATTTTGAAGTCAGCTACCAAGGAAGCCACTACCACTTGGGAACCAGCCATAAGTTAAGAAGGCCATGTACATCCTAGATGGGTGTGTTCTTTGTTCCTGTGAGGCATATGCCTAAAAAAAATGTTTCTCCTCTAAAGTCCTTTTAAAACTTTATTTTAAAATTTTTATTATTTTATTAACATATTAATTTTATTATTTATTTTTATATCTTACTAATTTACTTTTTGAGACAGAGTCTCGATCGGTCACTCAGGCTGGAGTGCAGCCCTCCTGGGCTCAAACCTCAGCCTCCTGGGTAGCTGGGACTATAAGCACATGGCATCACACCTGGCTAAATTTTGTATTTTTAGTAGAGACAAGGCTTCACCATGTTGCCCAGGTTGGTCTCAAATTCCTGGGCTCAAATGATCCACCCTCAGTCTCCCAAAATCCCAGGATTACAGGTGTGAGTCACCATGCCCAGCTCCCTTTTAAAACTTTGTATCTGAGGTTCAGAAATCCCATCAGGAGCATCTGTGAGTGTGCTTCCCGTTTCTTTCTTCCTCCCATGATATTCCTTGTATGTATGCCTCTTCGATCACAAGACTCAAATTTCTTTTAAATTCAATGATATTTTCTTCAACTATTTACTGATTTCTGCTTTTTGTCCTTTCCTTCTGGTGAAAACTGGATCTTGGGTCTCCTGATCACTCAATTCTCTGGTATCTCCTGCTCCACCTCTTTTGTCATCTGACAAACAATAGGTACCGAATAAATGTTTGCTCAAAGAGTGAACTCTAGGAATAAAGGATGTTAGATGAAAATACTATGTCTCAAAACTGTTCAAAATTTATATTAAAACTACTTCAAAAGGTTATTAGAGATATTATAAGCAGGAGCGAGATAGTCACTCAACAGAGATTTTGTTAGAAATCATCAGTCATCCTCAAGACTAACCCCAAATACTGGAAAATCCACTTTCACTATCGTGGGTCATTAAGAAGCATATTTCTTTCTTTCTTTTTTTTTGAGATGGAATCTCACGCTGTTGCCCTGGCTGTAGTGCAGTGGTGCTATCTCGGTTCACTGCAACCTCCACCTCCCTGGTTCAAGTGATTCTCTTGCCTCAGCCTCCCGAGTAGCTGGGACTACAGGTGCGCACCACCACGCCCAGCTAATTTTTGTATTTTTAGTAGAGATGGGGTTTCACCATGTTGGCCAGGATGTTCCTGATCTCTTGACCTCGTGATCCACCCACCTTGGCCTCCCAAAGTGCTAGGATTACAGGCGTGAGCCACTATGCCCTGCCTAAGGAGCATATTTCTACATAAAGAAATACATATGTAATAGGTAAAAATCAGATGAAGAAAAAAACATTTCCTCAACATCTCAGCAGCCACAATTCATCTGAGACTTACTCCTCATAGTACTAGTTAAAGTTGTATGGCTGACCGTTCACTGACCTCATCAACAATGACACAGCTGAAGGGGACACCCCCTTGCCCACGAAAAGCAGATTCAAGTAGTAAACCACCACTTGTGCTCAATGTGCAGCAGATGACATGGGACTCTAAGATGATGTTATTCTGTGTTTTCTGTGGGCGTCCTTGAACCTAAGAGAACAAAGGTGAAATCAACAGTCAGCGGTATATCAATTCTTGACTATGACAGGCCTATTTTTACTATAAAGCACTTATCATTTATTATGTGACAGAAATATTTATTAAAAGTTAGGGGGGAACCCTCAAATCTAGAAAACAAACAAGATAATCACAAACAGGAAAGAATGTGTGCTTTGCAGTTAAAGCATAGAATATTATTTAAGCACATTAAAAATTTTTATCCAGAGTTTGATTTGGTCAAAGTAGATTTCAATCCTTCCTGTAGCCAGATGTATGTAGGCAGGTATCTGAAGCAGAGATGTAACAATACTGAGTTGTGAATTATCTGAGTAAAACCAGGGTTAGAATTAAGCTTGAATATACATTTTTCTGTTAGTTTTTAAGTATATAATATTGCTCTTTCCTTTTTTTAGTACTTTTGCTAAACTAACAAAAATGCCTATGAACCTGACAAATATTCTATTTCCACAGTAAGAAAAACAAGTTTGGTCTTCTACAGTGCAATGTACTGTGATGGAACCAGATAATGTGAATGATGCCTCACAATGCATACCATATAGTGCTCAAATAAATCAGCATTTTCATTTTTTTTTTTTTTCCAGATGGACTCTTGCTGTTTCACCCATGCTGGAGTACAGTGGTGCAATCTCGGCTCGCTGCAACCTCTGCCTCCTGAGTTCAAGCAATTCTCCTGCCTCAGCCACCCAAGTAGCTGGGACTATCGGCGTGTGTCACCACGCCTGGCAAATTTTTTGTCTTTTAGTAGAGACGGAGTTTCACCATGTTAGCCAGGATGATCTCAATCTCCTGACCTCATGATCCACCCGCCACAGCCTCCCAAAGTGCTGGGATTACAGGTGTGAGACACTGTGCCCAGCCTAAATCAGCATTTTCCTCAGCGATTCAGTAAACTTTTTTACGCTACTAAGAGGCAATAGTGATTCATCTCTGCATATATGATATATTCAACCATGGAGTTCAAGGCATGTGTGGGAGCTTTAGGAAGAGGGTGGCACTGTGGCCCTCCATGGCTCACATAGTAAAGCATTGTCAGACACCTCTCCTTAGCCATCTAGTGAGTAAAACTGCTGAGCACATTCAGAGAAAACTGTATTTGCAAAATAAAAATAAACAAAAAAAACCCTGCTGAGCACAATTAGTTCAATGGCCCACAGAACACATGTGATGATGAGCAGCAAAAAAGATCTGTGAACATGGACTTCATCCTTGACTCAGGAAAGATTAACTTGAGGTTTTGTTTAAAACTTTAATCAAAAGTTTTCACATAACTTTTAGTTTAAGTAAACTGCTAATGAAAATAAGCATTAAGTTCAACTGTATTTAGTCACATAGAGAAAAATTATAATACATTCAAGAGAAAAACTTCAACAGAGGTACTACTAACGTCATCAGTTGCTATTACTCTCCTTCCCTGACCCCAATGTGGTTTGATTAGGGCTACATTCTGACAGTCAGGCTATACACCTGGCTCAGCCAAGCTTCAATTAGTCTAAATCTTACCTGATATTTTTACACCCCAAAAATACTGGGAAAAAGCTACAAAAATATTACAGGAGTCTTACGATCTAAGACAAGTACAGAGAGTTTATGCTCCAAGTCAAGAAATGCAAAAACCAAAAATCAAAGTGCTGTACTTTCTTATGCCAATCCTGCCCACCATCACTCTACTTGTATCCAGGTTGGAGCTCTGGAGGGCTCACAGTTGCCACCCTCAACCTAAAGCTCACACAGGTGACTTTTCTTTTTTTAACAGGGAAAACACCACAAAGTTATTTTCATTAACTGTTATGGGATGATAATTATCATAATTGTTTTTTGCAGTGGGGGAGGAAGACATAGAGCACCTTATAAGAAGGATTTAAATCTTTACCGAGACCTAAAACAGAAAAAAGATAATTTATAATCACCTCTTTCTTTGAAATCTTAGATGGTGGTTAAGAATTCATTATTCGGTTAAAGAAAAAAATGCGAATGTTGTTACACCAGTTTCTCCACTTCCACAGATGTCTGTAATTTTTCTGTAACTGAGAAAAGCCCATAGCTGGCCAGGCACGGTGGCTCACGCCTATAAAGCTAACACTTGGGAGGCCGAGATGGGCAGATAACTTGAGGTCGGAAGTTCCAGACCATCCTGGCCAACATGGTGAAACTCCGTTTTTATTAAAAATACAAAAAAAGATAGGGCGCAGTGGCTCATGCCTGTAATCCCAGCACTTTGGGAGGTGGAGGCAGGCAGGTTATCTGAGGTCAGGAGTTTGATACCAGCCTGACCAACATGGAGAAACCTGTCTCTACTAAAAATACAAAATTAGCTGGGTGTGGTGGTGCACGTCTGTAATCTCAGCTACAAGGGATGCTGAGACAGGACAATCGCATGAAACCACAATCACTTGAACCTGGGAGGCAGAGGATGCAGTGAGCCAAGATGGCACCATTGCACTCCAGCCTGGCAACAGAGCAAGACTCTGTCTCAAAAACACACACAAAAAAAAACAAAAATGAGCCAGGTGTGTTGGTGCACGCCTGCAATCCCAGCTACATGGGAGGCTGAGGTTGCAGTGAGCCGAGATCATGCCACTGCACCCCAGTCTGGGCGACAGAGAGAGACTCCGTCTCCAAAACAAAAAATACATAAAAGCTCATGGCTTATCTGAACAGTCACTCTGACAGTTTAGTTTTATATTTAAATTTCTAAAAATAAAATAAAATCAAGAAAATGCTATGTGTGAACTACTTACCTCTTTAATTTTAGAAGCAAGTTCCTGCCTTTCCTTAGAAACTTCGGAAATTTTTTCATCTAATTCTTGCCTCTGGAAAAAAATTCAAATGTCATAATTAAAATTAAACTACGCATTTTTAAATGCCTTCCAATGGACTGCCTCTAATCTTAAAAGAGCCTATATTTTCCCAAAGAAAAATGTATTTACCCAGCTTATTTCCTCTTCACAAGTACTGACACACTCTGTATGCTGCTGTGGAAGACTCAGCTGTGTCCTGTGCACTGCACGTGTGCTGTCTTAGCTGGACCAGCCCTGAGAGCATCACTCTGCCCTTTACCTTCCAGGTGATTCAAATGAGGCTGTTTAATCACACCCTAACCATTCCTCTGGTCACAGTGATGGGCATCTGATACAGGCCTGGCCAATCATGGCACCCATCTTCTTAAAATTAGGGATTAGACCCTGCTTGCTCCCCCAGGGACTAAACTAACTCCTTCTTTGGATACACGGATGCTAAGAGAAAGACCGAGTCTCACCCTGTGGGGTTTCTAAGCTGGGATGGTGGAAACCCTGAGATGCTGACACTCACCTTCTCCCGGAGAAGAAATGGCTGACACACAGAAAAACAAACCATGGAATGGAAAAATGATACTGTTTGATCCTCTAGATCTACCCATACTGAAGCTAATTCCCTTTTTGTCTAACCTAATTTGAACTGGGTTTCTTTAACTTGGAACTGAAAGATAATTAGTAAACTGAATATACCTTTAATACAAGGCAGTACAGCCTATAAGCCAAATGCAAGGCCAGGAGCAGGGACTCACACCTATAATCCCAGCACTTTGGGAGGCTAAGGTGAGAGGACTGCTTGAGGCAAGAAGTTCAGACTACCTTGGGCAACATGGCAAGATCCAGTTTCTACAGAAAACAAAAAAATTCGCCAGGCATGATGGCACCTATCCCACTCAAGAGGCTGAGGCAGGAAGAGAGCTCGTTTAAGCCCAAGAGCTTGAGGTTACATTGAACCACAATTGTACCACTGCACCTGGGCCACAAAGTGAGACCTATCCCGAAAACAAACAAAAATGCAACATACCATTTGCTTCTGTAAATAATGTTTTACTAGAACACAGCCACATCCATTTGTTTATATATCATTTATGGCTGCCTTGTGCTACCAAAAGCAGAGCTCAATAGCTGCAACAGAGACCGACCATACAGCTCGCAAAACCTAAAATCTTTACTAGAGTATCTTGCCCTTTGCAAAAAAGTTTTTTAAAAAATTTTAAAAAATAAATTTTAATGAAAGAAAAAATGAAAAAAAAAAAATTAAAGCCAAGAGGACAAAAAATAAAAGGCAAAAAGAAATATGTTAACCTGAGACACATTTTTAGTGTCTTAGTACACAATTTTATACATGAATCATGCCATTCCCCAATAAATAAAGGGTATTAAATTCTCATTAATCAGGTTGGCCGCAGTGGCTCACATCTGTAATCCTAGCACTTTGGATGCCAAGTTGGGCAGATCAACTTGAGGCCAGGAGTTTAAGACTAGCCTGGCCAACATGGTGAAACCCCATCTCCACTAAAAATACAAAAAATTAGCTGGTGTGGTGGCACATCCTAGTAATCCCAGCTACTCGGGAGGCTAAGGCAGGAGAATTGCTTGAACCCAGGGAGTTGAGGCTACAGTGAGCCAGAATCATGCTACTGCACTCCAGCATGGGAGACAGAGCAAGACTCTGTCTCCAAAAAAAACCAAAGAAAACAAAAACCAAAATTGTTAACTAGTTTGTTTACCTGAGTCATTATTTAAGAAATGCAAAGATACCTGTATTTCCCGTCCACCTCGGCAGAGAGCTCGCTGCCGGGAAAGTTCATCCAACTGATAATCTAGAAATTCCTTTCTTCTATGCATCTCCTGAACATGAGAAGGTAAGTCTTTTTCTAATAAAAATAACAAATAAAAAATTATATTCTATTCTAATTCTAACCAACACACACATACAGCACAATGAGAAGAAAAACTCAGTTGCCAAAGCCAGACTAATTCTCAAGTCTTCAAATTACCTTTAGTGTCCAAGTCATTTTCCACCAAACAAAACAGAGGAAACGCTAGTATAGACCACATTCAGTACTTACTCATTCTGTGGTTTACTTGGCTGTCCAAACTGAACTTTAGAACCTCGTTATTAATAGACTTTTCTGGGCCCAGTCGTACTAAATTGATATCTCCACAGTTTCCTGTTGATAAGAATCACATTTAAGGACTAATAAGGACACTGTGGATAAAGCCTGTCTCTATACATAGTATCTATTTCTAAGTAAATATATTAATAATCAGAGAAGGGAGCTAATACGAACTTCCAATTAACTAGATACCAGGGACTACACCACAAACTTCTCATACATTATTTCAGATATTCTTCCTAACAACCCTATAAGGCAAGTACTTATCACTTCTACCTAATAAAAGGCCATCCCAGCACTTTAGGAGGGCCAGGCAGGCGACCACCTGAGGTCAGGAGTTCGAGACCAGCCTGACCAATATGGTGAAATCCCGTCTCTACTAAAAATACAAAAATTACCTGGGCATGGTGGCATGCACCACCATACAATATACTGTTATGTTTTGAGAGCAAATGAATTTTACGTGTAGGGAATACATATGTAATATATGGAAAAATGTGTGTGATCCCTCAGAATAAAGATGACATGTTCCAGCCTATCTTATACCTTGGTGTGGCCAAAAGAAAATAAGCAGAGGTGTTATTGGCAGGACCTAGAAACTTTCCTTATAACATGGCTAGTATGTTCCCTCTGCCCCTTCTTCATCTTTTCCGCATGCTTGCTGGAACTGGAGCAGCCATCCTGACCACAGGTGCACTAAAGCATGCAGGCCCCACATGGTGGAGCAACCAGACGGAGCCTGGGTCTCCAAGGACTCTCTAAGGCAGAGTCGTCATACCAGTGACTCTGGTACCAGTCCTGAACTGCCCACCTCTGGGCTCTTGAACAAAAAAAGAGAAGTAAACTTCTATTACATTTAAGCCACTGTATTTGGAGTCTGATAAATCAAATCTTGTTAAAAGGTATCCTTAAGGAAAATTAAATTTGGTAAGAAGATGAGACATATGAGCTTGGCAAAGTAGTCAAATACAAAGCTATAACTATACTACTCAATACGAGTGATATGAAGAGCAAGTGTTAAGGCTTAATAAAATGAAATAATTTCACAACTTCACTTCAGTGCCTTCAATCATCTGTTGTAATGCTCTTCATTATTATGTAAATTCTACTGAAAAAAGTTATCCCTCTAGTATATTTAACATTTCTAAGCTTCAGTTTCCCCACCTATAAAATGCAAATAGTAGGGTTAACACCAAGTTCATGGGATTATTTTGAGAATTACTGACACATAATAAATACTAAGTAATTGTAAACAATCATTATTTTTACCGTTTCAATAAACCTGTGCTTACTCGAACCCTCGTCTTTCACCACCACCTAATACTCTAGGAACCTCATGAACCATCTGAGGTTCTCTTGCCCTGATTCTTCTTCTTTTTTTTTAATGGCAATCTCTGCTTAAGTATGCCCTATCCCTCTACTGGCTGTGGCGAACTCCTAACTGCTTCTTCCTAACCCTCACACACCTGAATCAGGGTCCCTCTGAGGCATCTGAAACACCCCACATTTTAGCCCCACTATGGAACTTATCACTCTGTACTGACCTGTCAACATCCTCACTAGGCTGTGTGTCTCCTTGAAGGCTTCACTGTTGAAACCTCAGTACCTGGCACAGGGTAAATGTTCAATGAAATACTTGCTAAATGAATTCACAATCCACAGATTCAAGTAGAAGCTATTACCAGGACTGGCTTGCTCTTTCCTTTGTCATTCAAAACTGCCCACACTTAACATTGAAAACAAAAACAAATTAAAAATCCACAAAAGTATCATACCTAAAGGATTCTTCTTGTCTTTACATTTTTCTTTGAATTCAAGAATAATTTTTTTCATGAGTTCATCAACAGCTGCGTTGGAAGGTGCACACACGAGGACACGGTTTTGTTTGATTTTGGCATTGGAATTTTCATCTGAATGCCCCTTCCTCTGGTTCTACAATTTGCCACATACACATAACAAACACACACACAAAAAATATGGGTGAGCTCTGTTACATAGCTTTACAGTTTGGCTTTACTTCCATGTATTTTTGAAAGTTCTCATAAAGTTAAAAATAAATAAAAGCATCTACATCTTACATTGATATTAAAATTACTCCAGCATAAAATTCTGTCATAACTGCTCTGAGCTTTACTTTATCATTCACTTAATTTAATCAATACTCAATCCAGGCCAGGCACAGTGGCTCACACCTGTAATCCTAGCACTTAGGGAGGCCAAGGCAGGTGGATCACCTGAGGTCAGGAGTTCAAGACCAGCACGGCCAACATGGCGAAACCCTGTCTCTACTAAAAACGCAAAAATTAGCTGTGAGTGGTGGTGTACAGCTGTAATCCCAGCTATTCGGGAGGCAGAGCCAGGAGAATTGCTTGAACCTGGGAGGCGCACGTTGCAGTGAGCCGAGATTGTGCCACTGCACTCCAGCCTGGGTGACAGCGAGACTCCTGTCTCAAAAAAAACCCCACAATCCAACCAAATTGTAGCCCAGCATTCACAGCAATAGATGTGACCTATAATGAAGCCTGACTATCATTCTAGTCCTTACGATTTGTTTTACATAAGATATAGTCTTCTTCCTCTGTTTATCATAACCTTCCCTCCCTCTGCCACCCCTTTCTCTGACACAGTTACACATAACATAAAAAATATGCACAAAGTGAAGAGGAAAAGGCATGTTAATACTTATATACATGTCAGTTAACTCGAGTAAAGTAAAATGATGCATCTAGTTAACAGCATCAGTGCCTTCACCCATACTAACCTCTGTCAGTAGGCGATAAAGGAGGCCAACAATTGTTTTTGATTTTCCTGTTCCAGGTGGTCCATGAATCAGGCAGATTTTGGCAACTGATGGTGAGTGTTTCACCATAGCATATGCAGTTTCTATTGCTTTCTTTTGGTCTTCATTGAAATCTCTTAAGTAGGCAATCTATATAAAAAAACACATTTATATAGATTGAAAGTGGAATATGAAAGGAAGACCATGAAAAAGCCTGTTCAAATTTCTTTTTATGTGTCAAAGCTTTGGTTATGGTCAGGCAAGACACAGACACCAAAGTGACCTTTAACCTAAAAAAACACATTCACTACGGGAAAGAAAGCTAATTACTTACTAATTACTAATAGTGTCTGAGGCTTCAAGTACTTACAAATACCACAACTGCATTTTTATTTCTTATTCTTATAATCACAACAAACTGCATTCACTAATTTATAACGTTTCTTCTATTTACTGCTTTATTCCTTTAGTTAATTTTCTCCTTAGTGAAAACATTCCAAGACTATTTATTTCCTAACACAATGTGTTACAGTGGAAAAAGCATGAATTTCAGGGTCAGATCTGGGTCTAAGCTTCACTTTCACTTACAAGCTAGGTCACTACACTCCTAACCTAAGCCTTGGACTCTGTTACTCATTAAATCTAGGATTTCTTAAAAGATGAGGACAGACTGAGATAATGCACATGAAAGCCATGGTATACAAAAAATATTAGTTTCCTTTTGCATTTCTGTGTTAATTTCCTAGAGGGTATACACAGCTTCACATGTTCAGATGACAACTTCATCCTTGCATTTCCAACAATAACAGCCAATTCTCCATCAATCATTCAAATGTAAATTTTTAACACCACTAAACCTGAGACTTCTCACCTAATGCACATTAAGTAGGCAGTAGGCTGCTGACCTAACATTTTAATGTTGCTCTTCTAGCACACCTTTGACTCTTACTGTACTGTATCTTTTTCTGCGGTAAGCTGACTAAACTAATTGCATACTTCGCAATTTTAAAGTAATCACTAAACTGTGTTCACCATGAACATGTCTTTGTTGTAGACATGTAGGAATATGTAGCAGCTAAAAAATATGATGCTTTAACATACTGACATGACACTATCTACTATCGTATAATCAACACTCACAATTCTCTCAGATGTTGTAGTTAGTAAATCTTTTGTACAGAAGTCCATAGGGTTTGGATTCAGAACAGCTCTAGCCAGTTGGTTCCGACTACCCAACAGAGACATGGCTTTCAACTTCCTTTGTGTAGTCACCAGAGAACTGATTACAATACAATTCACAAGTTCGTTTAAATTGGCCGGAAAGTTCTCTTGAGTCTGGATGGAAAGGTAACACTCAAATTTTCCATTACGCACTATCATCAAGAAAGAGAAAAGGTAATTTCAGTTATCACTGAATAATGTTGCCTACTTTAAAAGATTATACAGAATTAAGTATTTTTAACATATTTTGGGATATTATTTACATAATTTACCCAATAAATATTTATGGACTGCTTCCTGAACCCAGTAATGCTCTGTCCTCTAGAAGGTTACTTTCTAGAAAAGGGAGGCAGACAACCAAATAAATATGTCAGGTGGTACTAAGTGCTATGAAGAAAGCAGACAAAGGGAGGAAGTGATGCGGATGGAGGTGGATAAGCTGGTCCGGGAAGGTCTTCCTGATGAAATATTTGAGCAGAGACTTGAAGGGAGTATGCACTTAGCAGGGGGTAAACAGTGCTATACGCAGAAAATCAGCAACTGCAAAGATCGTAAGAGAGACGTGCCAGGAATATTTTAGAAATAAGGAGAAGGCTAATATGGCTAGCAGGAAAAACAGGGAGAGGAACGCTTAGCGACTGAGTAAAATGGGGCTATATTTTATAGGGCTGTGCAGATCACAATAATGATTCTGAATGCTATTCAGGATCAGGTAGGAAGCCACAGGGCACTCTGTGTAGGGAAATAACATGCTCTATCTCACAAACTAAAAGAACCACTCTTACTTACCTCAGAACAAAGAATAACTACAATGAGAGAAGTATAGAAACAAAAAGACCACTTATAAGGTTACTGCAGTAATTTAGGTAAAAGTTAATGATAGCTTGGACCAGGATGTAATAGTAGAGTTGGGAACTGTATTTCAGATATATTGGAAAGGAAAAGTCAATCAGATCTGCTGACAAATTAGAAGCAAGGTGTGAGAGAAGTAAGGATCATGGATGACTCCAAGGTTTTTGGCCTAAGTAACTGAAAGAATGGAGGCCCCAATTAACAAGATGGGAAAGAATGAAGCAAGTGCAGATGTCAGGCAGAAAATCAGGTGTCAGCTTTTGGACTAGTGGGTTTGAAATGTCGAACACTTTACAAATGGAGATACCAAGAGAGACGGTTTTGATCTATGAGGAGTTCAGGGAAGGAGACTGCCTTAGAACTATAAATTTGGCAAGAGCCAAAAGCACAGAGTAAACCATCAACCCTCATTGCAACTCTTCTAAATTCATCCTACATTCTACAGTATTAAGCCCTGAGCACACAAATAAACATGGTACACCTGCTATAACGCAGTATAATGCTGACACACTTTATTGCTACTTTTAAGATATCATGCAAAAAGGTGACTAAATAATGAAATAATGTTATTCTCTTCATATAACTAAGACTAAGAAACTTACCAATGCCAAAAAGGCAGTTTGGCATAAGAAAAAGAACGTCAAACAAAAGTAGGTTTCAATTCTGGCCTTACCACTTAATACTCATGACAGCCTTGAATAGCTTACTTAACATCCCTGAGCCATGGTTTCTTGATAAGCAAGGAATCATTTCTACTACCTTTTAGGGCTCTGGGGAAGATTATAGGTGTACATAAGACGAACAAGTCTCATTGTCTAGCATACATCAGGTATTTGTTAAATTTAGGCTAACACTTTTGTTATGACATTACCTAGGGACAGACATATAGTGGATGAAAGTGATATAAGCAGATACTTCAAGCTGCCTTACAGTGAGTTGTTTTTTTTTTTTTTTTTGAGACAGAGTTTCGCTCTTGTTGCCCAGGCTGGAGTGCAATGGCGCGATCTCGGCTCACCACAACCTCCGCCTCCTGGGTTCAGGCAATTCTCCTGCCTCAGCCTCCTGAGTAGTTGGGATTACAGGCATGCGCCACCATGCCCAGCTGATTTTTTGTATTTTTAGTAGAGACGGGGTTTCACCACGTTGACCAGGATGGTCTCAATCTCTTCACCTCGTGATCCACCCGCCTCGGCCTCCCAAAGGGCTGGGATTACAGGCGTGAGCCACCGCGGCCGGCCACAGTGAGTTTTATGTTTGGTCATCTCATTAGTGATTGGCCACAAAACCAAGGATGAAATGTAATTTAAGAACCAACAGATGGTTTGCAAACGGTCCACTTTAGAGCAAACGCAATGACAGATAAATGTAACAAAAGGATAGAACATTACAAAAATAAATATGGGATCTTTTCCAGGGAAGTCTAGAAAACCTAGAAAAGAGACTCTGAATGGTAAGTAATCACATAGCAAAAACATGTTTGGTAATGTATATCAAATATACTTGATATACACAATTTAGAAGGAAATTAGAAGATGAGCTTGTATCTGACATTTTCTTGTCCGTGCCTCATTATTTACTTACTGACTGAAGTGCGGCGGAATTTATGAACATAGCCACAATGATATTCACGGAGATCTTGCATGTCATTTCCCTCTGTATCTTTCTTCTCTTCATTTATTCTCTCAGGAATTAAAAACACCAAATCGTTTTCCTTTGGATAAAGTTGTTTAGCCAGTTCACATTCTTCCAGATAAACTATGAAACAACAAAAAATCAGAATTTATCTAATTCAATTATTTTAAATAAGATTGACTTAAATCAAATCCTTGGATTAAGTTCAAAAATACACAGCACTAGTGGACTCTGCATATACTTTAAAATGGTAATCTAATCCAATCAAAATCTTAAAGTATTAAAAAATACCAATTATATAATATAAAGTTTTCTTTAAAACTGCTATAAGGCCAAAGTAGATAAAATCATAATATTGAAAAGTAGCAAATACATTTTTTCCTTTAGGTTTATTCTGGTTTTTAATTGAGATTCTCTCATTTGTTTCCAACTTTCAAAACCCCTAAAGAAAATTCAGAAACAGATCCAAGCAGTTATACACTACATAATGATGTTTTGGTCAGACCAGCTATACAATAGTGGTCCCGTAAGATTATATTTTTGCTGTATCTTTTCTATGTTTAAATACACAAATACTTCCCCATGTTACAATTATCTATAGTATTCAGTACGGTAACATGCTGTACACGTTGGTAGCCTAGGTGTGTGGTAGGCTACATCACCTAGGTTGCTGTAAGTAACTACACTCTTACTTCTTACAATATCGACAGGATAATGAAATTGCCTGACACATTTCTGAGAACATATTCCCATCAAGTGACACAGGACTGTACATATAAGAATTTTGAAACTTCTATGCATTTGAAACAAATTCCAAGTAGGAAAAGGTGGTTGTAAACTAAGTGGGACTAGGAAAACAGAGAAAGCACTGGAATAAAGTTCAGTACCAACTGCTAAATCTAACCGTATACTCTGGAAAATACAAACTACTGCTGAGAGAAACTGAAGACAGCCTAAATAAATTAAGAAATGTACTAAGTTCAAGGCCCAAGGCTCAATACTGTTAAATGTCAGCTCTCCCCAAATTATCTTTAGAGTCAAAGCAATCCTAGTAAAAATACCAGCGGGCATGTTTATAAATGTTGACAAGTTGATTCAACACTGATGACAATACAAAGAAACTTCTTTTTACGAAGAACAAAACTGGAAGGCTTAAACTATTCAATTTCAGTTATTTTTTATAAAGCAACAATAAGAGACTGTGGTATTGGTGTAAGGCAGCTATACAGATAAAGAAAACAGAACACAGTGTCTAAAAACACACCTGCAATCAAGGTCAACTGATATTCTGATTAACGTGCCAAGTTACTGAATGACAATGAGAAAACTACGCTTTTTAAGAAGGATCACTAAATCTGAGCACCTATTTTTACAGTGTTTTTATATTTTTTAGAGACTGGGTCTTGTTCTATCTCCCAGACTGGGGTGCAGTGGCATGATCACAGCTCACTGCAGCCTGGAACACTTGGGCTCAAGCAATCCTCCTTCCTCAGCCTCCCATGTCACTGGGACTACAGGTGTGTATTGTCCATGTTCAGCTATTTTTTTTTACTTTTCTGTAGAGACAGGGTCTTGCTATGTTGCCAGACTGGTCTCAAACTCCTGGCCTCAAGTGATCCTCCTGTTTTGGGCTCCTAAAGTGTTGACATTACAAGCATGAAACACTGCACCTGACTTCTACATTTAAAAAAGCAAAACACCCCTTAATCCTTACATATGTCACATATAAAAATAAAATTGAAATGGTCATCAACACAAACACAAAAATTAAACTACAAAATTTAGAAAAAAAGAGGAGGAGAACTTTGGGAGGCTGAAGCAGGCGGATCACAAGGTCGAGATCGAGACCATCCTGGCCAACAATAGTAAAACCTCGTCTCTACTAAAATATAAAACTTAGCTGGGCGTGGTGACGCACGTCTGTAGTCCCAGCTACTCAGGAGGCTGAGGCAGAAGAATTGCTTGAACCTGGGAGGCGGAGGTTGCAGTGAGCTGAGATTGTGCCACTGCACTCCAGC